TGTATTATTTCTGATGAGGAACATAAAGATGTACCTTTGAAAGTAGATTTACACTTACAAGATGCCTCTTTGATTAGGAAGGACTGTGGAATGGTTTCGAAAGAGAAAATGTGTAAAGGGAAGGGTAATAGAAGCTTTTTTTTTATTACAACTTTCTATAACATAATAACTTGGTGTGCTTGTATTTCATATACTTTTATTTACACAGTTTTTCCTACTTAATATTTAAAAATATTAAAGAAATTTTTTTGAGACAATTCTTGCCTAGGATTGCTTGGTATTCACTCTGCAGCTCAAGCTGGCCTTGAAATTTTAGTCTCCTTCTAACCTCTGCCTCCTCAGTACTGGGATTACAAGTGTGTGTCGGTACATTAGCTTGCATGTATTCTTTATTTTGGGGAAATACTAAAAGTATACAGAATCTTCTTTTACTTTAAAATTCATGCAGCGTGTTCCTCATAGAACTATAGATGTTTTTAGTAAAAAAAACATCTTCTAGGAAACATAGCTTTTAATTTAAAGATAAGGTTTTAAGGGTCTTAGTATGTAGCCCTGTTTGGCCTATATAGACCAGGCTGTCCTTGAACTCCAGGATCGCCTGCCTCCTGATTCAAGACATGTGTCACCATGCCCAGTAGAAACAAATTTTTGATGTACAATAATTTTACAGTTTACTACGAAGATTTTAATTTGATTTGGAAAATATCTTTTAAATTAGTACTTTTAAGTATTGGTATGGTTGACTGGTGTTTGGGCAGAGGGGAAAACAGGAAATTGAGGGGAAGACAAGTATCAGTATACTATATAGAGAGTATGAATGCATGTGGACACTTTGTTTTTTTTTAAAATTAATTAATTAATTAATTTTTTATTACAGTTTATTCACTTTGTATCTCAGCTTTAGCTCCCTGCTTCATCCCCTCCCAATTCCACCCTCTCTCCCTCTTCTTCTCCTATGCCCCTCCCCAAGTCCAGTGATAGGGGAGGTCCTTCTCCCCTTCCATCTGACCCTAGTCTATGATGTCTCATCAGGACTGGCTGCACTGTCTTCCTCTGTGGCCTGGTAGGCTTGCTCCCCACTCGGGGAGGTAATCAAAGAGCCAGCCTCTGAGTTCATGTTAGATACAGTCCCTGTTGCCATTACTAGGAAACCCATTTGGACACTGAGCTGTCACAGGCTACATCTCTTCAGGGGTTCTAGGTTATCACCATGCATGGTCCTTGTTTGGAGTATCATCTCAGAAAAGAACCCCGTGCCCAGATTTTTTGGTTCTGTTGCTCTCCTTGTAGAGCTTTAGTCCTCTCCAGGTCTTTCTATCACCCCCTTCTTTCATAAGATTACCTGCACTCTGCCCAAAGTGCAGGCTGGCTATGAGTCTCAGCATCTGCTTTGATACACTGCTGGGTAGAGTCTTTCAGAGTCCCTCTGTGGTAGGCTCCTGTCTTCTTCCCTGTTTTCTCACTCTTCTGATGTCCATCCAGTTTGCCTTTCTGAATGGAGATTGAGCATCTTACACAGGGTCCTCCTTGCTTAGCTTCTTTAGGTGTACAGATTTTAGTATGATTATCCTATATTATATGCCTAATATCCACATATAAGTGAGAATATACCATGTATGTCTTTCTGCTTCTGGGATACCTCACTCAGGGTCATCTTCTCTAGTTTCCACCATTTGCCTGCAAATTTCATGATTAATTTGTTTTTAATTGCTGAGTAGTATTCCATTGTGTAAATGCACCACAATTTCTGTATCTATTCCTCAACCGAGGAACATCTGGGTTGTTTCCAGATTCTGGCTATTACAAATAAAGCTGCTATGAACATGGTTGAGTAAATGTCCTTGTTGTATACTTGAGCATATTTTGGATATATGCCTAGGAGTGGTATAGCTGGATCTTGAGGAAGCACTATTCCTAATTGTCTGAGAAAACACCTGATTGATTTCCAAAGTGGTTGTACAAGTTTACATTCCCACCAGCAATGGAGGAGGGTTCCCCTTTCTCCACATCCTCTTCAGCATGTATTGTCTTTGAGTTTTTGATCTTAGCCATTCTGATGGGTTTAAGGTAAAATCTCAGGGTCATTTTCATTTGCATTTCCTGGATGACTAAGGATATTGACCATTTCTTAAAGTGTTTCTCTGCCATTCAATATTTCTCTATTGAGAATTCTCTGTTTAGCTCTTAATCCATTTCTTAATTGGATTACTTGATTTGTTGCTGTTTAACTTCTTGTTTCTTTATATATTCTGTATATTAGCCCTCTGTCAGATATAGGGTTGGTGAAGATCTTTTCCCAATCTGTAGGCTGTGGTTTTGTTCTGATGACTGTCTTTTGCTTTACAGAAGCATTTCAGTTTCATGAGGTCCCATTTATTGATTGTTGATCTTAGAGCCTGTGCTGTTGGTGTTCTGTTCAGGAAGTTGTCTCCTGTGCCAATGAGTTCCAGGCTCTTCCTCACTTTTTCTTCTAACAGGTTTAGTGTGTCTGGTTTTATATTGAGGTCTTTGACCCACTTGGACTTTAGTTTTGTGCAGGGTGATAAGTATGGATCTATTTGCATTTTTCTACATGTAGACATCCACTTAGACCAGCACTATTTTGTTGAAGATGTTATCTTTTTTCTATTGTATGGTTTTGGCGTCTTTGTCAAAAATCAGGTGTCCATAAGTATGTGGGTTTATTTCTGGGTCTTCTATCCATTGATCCACCAGCTGGTTTCTATGCTAGTACCATGCAGCAGTTTTTATTACTGTTGCTCTATAGTACAGCTTGAGATTAGGGATGAAGATACCTCCAGAAGATCTTTTATTGTAGAAAATTGTTTTAGTGATTCTGGGTTTCTTGTTATTCTATATGAAGTTGAGAATTTTTTTTCAAAGTCTGCAAATAATTGTGTTGGTAATGTGATGGGAATTGCATTGAATCTGTAGATTGCTTTTGGTAAGATCGCCATTTTTACTGTTAATCCTGCCAAGCTTTGAGCATGGGAGATCTTTCCATCTTGTGATATCTTTTTTTATTTCTTTCTTCAGAGACTGGAAGTTATTTTCATACAAGTTCTTTGAGTTGCTTGGTTGGAGTCACACCAAGGTACTTTATGTCCTTTGTGGCTATTGTGAAGGGTGTTGTTTCCGTAATTTCTTTCTCAGCTCATTTGTCTTTTGTATACAGGAGGGCTACTGATTTTTTTTAGTTAATTTTGTATCCAGCTGTGGATACCTTTTTAGGGCAGATGTGGCAAAACCTAAGTATAGCTCCTCCGGGGCTGGGCTCCAGCAATCTTCCTGGTCCTCGTGTGCTGTAACTCTGTAATCACATGTACTCATGCTTGAAGTTTCCTGGGTTTGTTTTTCTTTCCTCTTCTATCTTTCTGTTCTTTCTTTCTTTGTTTCTTTTCTTTTTTCTTTTTTTTCTTTTTGGAGACAGGATCTTGCTCTGTATGCTTGGTTCATGTGGAGACCAGGCAGACCTTGAAGTCGCATTGAACTTGCCCCTTTCTCCAGAGTGCTGGCATTACCACACTTCACTGTTTGATGTATATTTAAAACTGGATTTCTTTTATCCTTAGTGTTCACATTTCCCCATTTAGATTAGAAGCAGAATTTTTTTTTCCAGCAGCAATTCCTTTCAAAAGCAAAATTTATTGCTTTCTAAAAGTTCCTAGTAGTTGAGTTCTTATGCATGCTTGTATTGCACTTAGCTACCTGGCATGCTCA